TTTTTGGTACTGGAAATTGAACCTAAGGGTGCTCTACTACTGGGCTACATCCCCATCATTTTTATTTTTATTTTGAGAGAGGGTCTTGCTAAATTGCTGAGGCTGGCCTCCAACCTTGTGATCCTCCTGCCCTCCTGAGCTGCTGGGATTACAGATGTGCATCACCATACCTGCAGTAAGGTATATTTAATGCTCCAGAACTTTGCTTAAAATGTTATTTGGGGGGTTTAATTCCCAGGACTCCCAAAAATGTTATTTGGGGGATTAGGGAAGGACTGTATTTATAAAAGCAGCAATCGTCCTCTGGAGACCTCCCACTGTAACCTCCCAAGGACAAAGTTCTAGAATCCACTGATTCTGAAGGTCATGTAAGTTTAAGTAGTGTGTTTAATTCAAAGTCTCCAGGATATTCAGGGCATTTTCTTGGGTCGACAGATGCATGCACTATATGAGTTTTATCCATGAACTTAGTTTGAGACTGAGAATTTACATAATCCACAGTTTCTTTTCCTTTTGGGGGCAGATTATAGACAGCTAACTGTGATGAGAAATTACACAACAAAGAGAGATGCCAGTTTAAGAAAAAGGCAATTCTGGAGAGCACCGAGTCTGCTGAGTTGCCTGGGTTCTTCAGGAATGTGACTTTCCCAGGCACTTCGGAGCCTCGGGGTGAAGGAGAGGCTGGTCTTCTCCGTACTCCCTACTTTTACTGCATTCCCATACCAGTCTGATTTTCTTTTATTATGGTTCTTTTTAAAAACATAAATTTGTGGTAAGGAGACACTCCTCATTGTTGAGGGTAGACTTCACTCTGGCACAGTAGTGCCTATATCAGAGGGTAGGAGCTTCGCAGAGAGATTTCCTTCTAAGAAGTGATGAGAGCAGTCGGTTTTCGCCGCTGGTGGCCTGCTGCTGGCCCTGCAGTCCTTGTCTGAGAGGTAGGGTAAGTTCTCAGGGCTGTCCTCAGCAGAGGGATCCTCGTGGAAGCTCTTGAGAGCCAAAATCCGGTACCGCTTCCTCCGGTTCACTTTATATACGCGAATCCTTTCTTTTTCTGCCTCTGGATCAGCGAGAATTCCATCCCAACGCAGGCTCTCGTTGATTTGGTTGGAAAGGTTCTCTTCCACTTCGGCAAAGGGGGGCAGGCTCACCACAGTGCAGGAGTAGGAAGGGCTGTGCTTGTTTACCTCTTTGTCCGGTTTGGGCTCTGACTTGGCGCCATGGTCTTTGCTGGGATTTAAGATGTCATGGAAGGATGAAGAAAGTGGCTGACTCTTCAGGCCTCGACTCTGATGTTTATCTGCTGAGCAGATGAAGAGGTTAGTGTTTGCGGCCATGTCTGCCCTGAGCCTGCCTGGGAGGATGCCTGAATCACCAAAGATGGAAGGGGCGTGGGGACCACTCTTCACCCAAGGCTCAGACTGCCAAGCCCACCAGTCTCTTATACTTTGGGTTAAATCATCTGGGGGCAAGAGGAGCCATTATTTATTTACTTACTTACTTATTTTGTGGTATTGGGGAAGGAACCAGGGCCTTGTGTGTACCAACCACACACCCTGCCAACAAGCTACACCCCAGCCCCGGGAACCATTGTTTGAGCACCTACTGGAAAGCAGGCCCTCCAGATAGAAGCTATCAGTCCTGTTCTCCAGGTCAGGAAACTGAGGACCCAAGAGTTTCATTAACTGCCAATGTCACACAGCAAATGGCAGAGTCGGATTCAAAGGTAGGAACTGGCTCTGGCTGCCCTGCTGCCCGCACTGAACCTTACCCCAGGTTTACCAAGGTACTTTCCAGTCTGTGTCTGTGATTCGACTGCCAGTCTAGACACTTGATGGTGGAAGAAATGGAGACAAGAAAAAAGCTTCCTAAATTTGACTGATGCAGTCGGCTTCATGCCAAACCCGGAAATACTTCTGCTGTGTGGCTTGTACTATTTCTTTCTTTGTTCCTTTTTTTTTTTTTTAAAGTAGCTTTTCAGAATTATATGACATTCCTATAAAGTACTAAAAGTTATGGTTCTTTTATCAGTTCATCCTTCTAGTTTTTAGGAGACAGAAATACCTCCCTCAGCCAAAAAGGAGGGGAGAGAGCAAAGAAAAGAAGGGGAAAATTCATGTCTTGATATTTCTTTATCTTCTACACCCCCAAAACTATCTGGTGTCCCCTGCTGACAGTATGAGGTACATACCACCATAATTTGAACAGTGAAAAGTTATACACCAAAAAGACAGTACACTTCCTGATTTTGCTTTGTGGATACACACAAGATCTTTGCCTTATACTCCAGAATTGTTTTTTCCCCCTCTGTCTTTTTATTACAATTCCACCTGAAGAAGCCATTATACCCTTGTCCTTGCTTCCTTCCCCAGACTACAAGGCCGAACGGGGCTGCCTGCCATTCCTCTGCCTCCTGCACACAGACAGCCAGAAACCAGAAACTTGAGCCAGGAGCCAGTCTCACTGGAGGTCAGGGCCATTTCCCTGACGGTCAAATCCACTGAGCTGGACCACACAGGTGACAATGGAATCACTGTGCTCATGGACGGATGCATTCTACATCATTGCCGCACTCTCTCCTTGAAGTGGGCATTCAGGGCCTTTGTGGAGAAGAAATCTGGGGGTCCTATGAGAAGAGCTTAGTGTGGTGTGGGGACTCTGCAGTTGTCATTGAGGCTGGGGTACCTGCGACGGTATGCTGGGAAGCACACAGGGTTGTCTATGCATGTGAATGTCTAACAGTATCTGTGTGTGTGCCGCCTGTGAATTATGTGCATGACAGGGTAGCTGTGCTTTAGTGTCATCGGATGGTGTCACTGACATGAGGATGTGTTGGGAAGGGATAAGAGGATGGGGCAGTGACAGGTATGCAGTGGGGCTGCCCCTTGGTGGATGGAGGTGGGGTCCACCCAGGGAGGATTCTTCCTAAGCATTTACCTGGGTGTGGGTGTCCACACAGCATCCAGAGGCAGGTGCCCCTTGATGCGTGAGGACGTGAGGACCACCTCTTGTGGGGAAGGCAGGAGTCTGTGTTTCTGTATATGATTGTCTATCTGTCAGTGTCTTCAGGTCAAGAGAAGTCTCTCTGTGAGTGGTCTCTGTAGAGGGCTTGAGATTTCTTCAGGGAGGTGTGGGTATTAGGGAAAGAAGTTGGGCTGAGGGACTGGGAAGTTGAGAGGGTATCTGTGGGGCTGGGGGGGGGGCTCTTGGGAATGCGGTATCTGTGGGGGTTGCCGGTGAGGAGGTGAGGAATTATTGCATATTGGGAACTCTCGGTGCAACCGTGTGGGATCTCTGCAAAGTTGGTGGAACTTCTGTGGCCTCGAAGGGGTCTCCTGGAAGGACAATCTCTGTGGACACCATGGTCTTAAGGCGTAGGGCGGGGCATCACTGGGCCAACCTAAGTAGAATGTGGAGACCAGGGGGCTCTGGATTGGAGCGTCTCTGTCTGGTTCCCAGCTCTCTCTGGGTGGAAGGGCACCTCTGGGAGGAGGTGGGTGTCCGGGGGTAGCGGAGGTGGCCACGCTAGCTCTCCTCTTACCGTCCCCCTTGCCCGACCCCTTGGTCTTCTTCTTCTTCTTCTTCTTTTTCTTCTTCACCTTCCGTTTGACCGGTTCTGAGGTGCTGCCCGCGATGGGAGGTAGCTTGGACCCCGGAGAGCCCACCGCGCCGACCTCCGGCGCCTCCTCTTCCTCATCGTCCTCCTCGCACTCCTCGCTGAACCCCGCCGCCGCCCCGACCCCACCGCGGCGGCTCATTAGCCCGCGGGTTCACCACTGGGCCCCGCGGCTGGGCTGCCGGGCGGGACGAATCGGGCGCCGACTGCCGGGCGGGGGCCACGCGTCTCCCACGGCGACCGGCCGACCTCGCGCGTGCGCATTCGGAAAGCCGCCCCCCCCCCAGGACATCGTGTGCGCATGCGTGTTTCAAGATGTTGAAGATCTAGGACCGAGGAAAAAGGGTGGGAGAGGTTCTAAATCCTCGGGCTGACTTACTTCTCCACTCTGTGCCGTGTTTTCTCCCTTTGGTGCTGGGGTCTGAACCCAGGGGCACTTTACCACTGAGCCACATCCCCAGCCCCTTTTAGTTCTTATTTTGAGACAGAGTCTCTCTAAATCTGCTTAGGGCCTCGCTAAATTGTCGAGGCTGGCCTTGAACTTTCCAGCCTCTTGCCTCAGGCTCCCGGGATTACAGGCATGCGCCCCTGTACCCGGGCCCACTCCTATGCCTTCTAAAATACTATTTATTCTTACCTAAATTTTTATTGTGCGGGTTCCAGTCTTGTTTGGCCCTGATCTGTGGAAGCCAATATGTCCAAATCAAACTTCACTGTTTCCCTTCTCAGTGAAGAAAGCAGCTGGATAGGCCAGCCCTAGGCAGCTTTCCTGTCTCCCACTCCCGCGCTTTTGCCCTAACCTAGGCTAGGCTGACCGCCACGGCTGTCACTTGGAATTGGCTCTCATCTTTCAAGCCCTCCCCTCAAGATCTTTTTTTGGGGGGGTGGCATGTGCCTCTAGTCCCAGCCTCTCAGGAGGTTGAGCCCAGGAATTTGGGGCCAGCCTGGGCAGCCTATCTTTATTCTGTTTATTTATTTTCATGCGATGGTGAGGATCAAACCCAGCACCTCACATGTGCTAGGCAGCGCTGTTCCACTGAGCCCAGCCCCAGCCCCTCATCACAGTTCTTGTCAATACTGTTGGATTGCTGTGGCTCACAGGGCCGGGATGATCTGCCGCCTGCTTTTCTTTTCAGGTGAACCCACCACAGATTGAATCATCCAAGCACAGCTGCGATAATATTTCTCATTCCACAAGCTCAGCTAGACTTTGGCCGTTCCCACAAGAGGCAGAGCCTACATCTACCCTCCCACACCGCCCCTTTTTAATTTGGACAAGTTTGTTGACTAACTTGTAACCCAAAGAACACAGCGGGAGTGGCATTGTGTGGAGGACTTTTTAGGCTTGGTTGCAAAAAGATGGTACAGCATCCATCCACCTTGTTAGCCTATGACTTGAGTCTCCCAGTAAGATCCCCGAGGGCCCTGAGGCTGGCATGATTCCAGGAAGCCTCAACTATACACATGAAGAGACCTGACATTAAGTGAAGAGAGAGGTGCCCCTGTTACTCCAGCCCCTACTTTTCCACACTGAATAGCGGAACTGGGCACGCACCTGTAATACCAGCAATCTGAGACGCTAAGGCAGGTGGGTCACAAGTTCGAGGCCAGCCTGGACAACTTAGTGAAACCCTGTCTCAAAATAAAATATATAAAGAGCTGGGGATGTGGCTCAGGGGTCGACCACCTCTGGGTTTAATCCCCCTACCAAAATAAATAAATAAATAATATAAAATAAATAAAAAGAGTTGGGGGTGTAGCTCAGTGGGAGGAATCCTTGGGTTCAACCCCCCAAGGGGGATCTGTTCAGCAGGAAAGACACGCCCCCCCAGGCCAGACCCCACCCAACCATTCTTTCCTAATTCCTGACTCAAGGAAACAGTGAGACAAAGTAGTGATTGTTAATTGTTTAAGTTACTAAGTTTCGGAGTGATAGAGTTTTGCAACAATAGATAACAGGGACAATACATAATATCAATCTTAGACTTTTGCCATTCTAACATATAAGAAGTTGTGTTTCTCTGTGGGTTTTTTTTTTTTTTTTGGTCTTGTTTTGCTTGGTTTTTGTTTTATTTTGTGTCTTCTTGCCGAGCTAGAAATCAAATCCAGAGCCTTGATCATGCTAGGTGAATACTATGCCACTAATCTGTGTCCCTGTGCCTCCCTGTGGTTTTTAAGTTCCATTCCCTGATGACGAATGATATTGAGCAATTTTGTTTTGTTTTTGTGGTAGGGGGTGGGGGGGTGGAACCCAGAGCCTTGCACATGGGAAGCAAGCCCTCTACCGCTGGGCCACTTTACTATTGAGGTACATCCCCAGCCCTTTTGTTGTTGTTACTGGGGATTGAACCCAGCAACACTTAACCACTGAGCCACATTCCCAGCTTTTTTTTATTTTGAGGCAGGATCTTGTTAAGTTGTTTAGGGTCTCCCTAGGTTGCAGAGGCTGGCTTCAAACGTGCAATCATCTTGAGTTGCTGGGATTCTAGGCATGTGCCATCACATCCTTTTTATTTTTTATTTTGTGACTGGATCTTGCTTAAGTGTGCCATCGTACCCAGTTATTTATTTTATTTTATGTGTTTAATATTTGTTTAGCTGTAGAGGACACAATACTTTTGTTTTATTTATTTATTTTTTATACGGTGCTGAGGTTTGAACCCAGTGCCTCACACATACATGCTAGACAGCACTCTACCACTGAGCTACAACTCTAGCCCCACGTTATTTATTTTCTTAATGGTTTTAAATGATGACATTTAAAATTCTGATGAAACAATTTTATCCATATTTTCTTTTTTATATCTTGCCCAAGAAATCTTTGCTGACCCCTAAATTGCAAAGATGGTATATTTTGTTTTCTTCTAGAAGTTTTATGATTTGTGAATTTTAACGTTAGGTCTGTGACCTATCTCAAATTAATTTTGTGAATAAAGTCAAGTAGGGACCAACATTCATTTTTCCCCAAATGAATACCCAGTTGTTCCAGGAATTTCC